GGATAGATTTATAAAAAATAATAGATTACAAAATAAAGACTATAAAGTTGTTTTGCCATTAGTAGGGCACTATATGGTAGTAAGATGATATTGCTTGTGTTTATTAGCTTTCTCTTTTATGTGTCTAATTTTTTAAATTGTGATTTAATTTTAAAGCTTTGTGGTGCCCTCAGGGGTGCTTACAGCCTAATAAAACTAATATACAAATATATAGAATTATTAGATGGGGTTGAATGTACTGGTTGCTAAAATCGGGGAACAAATCAAACTAAAGCAGGCTTGATAATTATAATTTAATAATGGTTTGAGGATTCATGGTTTAGTTCCAAGGAGAGCCACCTGATCTTGAAGGATCTAAGTTGTCATGTGCTAAATGACTGGGGCATTAATGAGACTTATGTTAGGGACTTTACATACATTATCATATTTGACCTTTATGTATTTGTTTTGTATTCTTTATTGTTTTGGACTCATTTTCCAAAATATTTTTCTTGAGGACAGATTTATGTTCCTATATGTTTTTTTTTTTTTTTTTTAAAAAAAAAAACAACCTTCAGTTATGTGTATCCCTGGAAGCAAAATCTTTATATAGAAAACTAATGTATCTTTTCAGTTTATACTATTAATGTATATATTAATGGACTCTTGAATTTGGAAAAAAACTGATTAAGTAAAACTTTTTTGGTCTTTTTGAGACAGGGTCTCTGTGTAGCCCCAGCTGGCCTGGAATTCACTATGTAGACCAGGCTGACCGTGAACTCACAGAGATCTGCTTGCTTCTGCTTCTCAATGCTGGGATTAAAGGCATGTGCCACCACACCTGGCAATTAAGTAATTTTTAAATTCAAAAGTAGAATAAATGGAAAGGTGGTGTGATAGTCTGCATATTAAAAAATGAAATGATCTCTTCACCATAAGACTGGCATTAGAACATTCTAGAGGATGACAAGCTTAGTGGCATCAAAAGAAGTGGAGTATACTGTTTAAAATGGTGATGATTATTTAAACGCCATGTATGCGGTTAAATCAAAGGATGAGTGCATCTCCCAATTGGAACTTGTTAATTTAAGTGAATGTTTATCCTTCCTAAATTGTTTGTCTGTAGCTTGGTTTCTGTGTAATGCCTACCAGATGCTTAACTTTTCTCTGGGAGAAGTCAAGAGAGATAAGTTTTCACACTTATTACAAAGCTTTCTTCATTTTCTATTTGAGTGTGTGGGGGGTGTGTGTCCATACTTTGTTACTTTTGAGGTTTCCAGATAAGATGGAAATGTCTTTCTTTTTTTGGCAATAAAATATATAGGGCTAGGACAGCTCCTGTTATGTCAGGGTTTTCTAAAGTCTGGTGCGCATTTTACTGGAAGTAAAGAAACACAATTTTTACAGATTTTCTATTTGTTTTACTGGATATTAGAAAAAGAAAGGCCTACTATATCATACTTATCATGGATATTCGTGGATATTATTGCTAAGTCAGAACTAGAGCAGGTACCACCACCTCACTCAGACCAAATGCATTACTGGTGCAAAGCTCAGGCAAGGCCAAGAATGTAATTCTGCATTCTTTTCAGGGATACAACAAAACCATATATACAATATATATAATTGTGTAGTGGAATCAGATCTATGCTTTTTTTCTGTTTTGTTGTTGATTCATTGAATACAACAGAATTTAAAAATGATCAGACATACTCATTGTTTTTGCTACTAACACTGAGATGTTGGTGTCTGCATCTCTAATCTGTATGTATCTGATTATTACTAGTCATAATCGGTTGCACTTGG